GCTACTCAGGAGGCAGCGATCAGGAGGATCACAGTTTAAAGCCAGCCTGAGAAAATATTTGGTGAGACCCTATCTCAAAACAACCCAATACAAAACAGGACTGGTGAAGTAGCTCAAAGTGTAGGCCTGAGTTCAAACCCCAGTACTGCAAAAAAAAAAAAAAAGAAGAAAAAGAATCATTCCTTATTCCTGTCTGCCCCCTACAACCTTCCAAACACAGCCCCCAATATGTCTTTTGCTTTCCATGTGCTTACTCAGCTCCTGTACTCTCAGGTAGATCCCTGTAGGGATCCTCACCAGGGTCCTGGCCCGTCCAATTCAATCCTTTCCAAGCCAATAAGATCTGTGCAGACATATTTCTCACCCTACCCCAAATAAATAAAAACACTGCCTGGTGTTTTCATACTGAACTACAGAACCTGCAGGGTTCCTGTCCGCCCACTGCCCACTCACCTCCCTACCCACTGTCTTACTCCATTTCCCCCCATGGCCTTCTAACTATCTATTCAGAATGCCCAAATATTCTCCCTTACATTCCCAGGGCTCCTCTTCCTTATCTTCAGAGGTCAGCTTACCTATTTCCTCTTGTTATGCCCTCATTTTCTGGCCACCCTATTGTAACTGTCTACAGAGCATGTTTTACTATCTGTGTATCAGTCAGGGTTCTCTACAGGAAACAGGTCCAACAGAATGTATATGCAATTATAAGAGGGGATTTATTAAATTGTCTTATGCGACCAGAGGCTGGAGAGTCCCACAATGGTTATCTGCAGACTGAAGAGCTTGGGAAACCAGTAGCTGCCCAGTCCATGAAGCTGGAAATCTCAGAACAAGAGGGCCCATAGATGCAGCCCCAGTCAAAGCCCAAAGTACTGGAAGTTCCCTGGAGAGTCACTGGTGAGTTCATGTTCAAAGCTGAAGAAGCTGGAGTCTGAGGTCCACAGAAAACGGCAGTGGGGATACACATAACCCCTTAAGAAGACTTGAGCTTGTGCCCACAGTTGAGTTTCCCCATGTCTACATTTTGTTCCATCCAGGCCAGTGTTGCACACATTCAGTGCTGGTTTTGCCCTCGGTTTGCTCACCCACATTCCTGTCTCTGGAAACACCCTCACAGACATACCAGATGACATACTGTATGTCATACAGACATACCATTTTCTAGGTGTCCTTCAATCCAGTTACGTTTTCAACCAGGACTAACCATCCAAATCTGTGTTTATTAGGTACTATTTTCTGACTTCCCCTTACTAGAGTGTAAGCTCTGTGGGCCTCCACTCTCCTGAAGTGGTTTTTCCATTGCTTTCTACCAAACACTTAGAACAGTGCTGAAAACACTGCAGAAGTGCAGTAGATATTTATTACATGACTGGATGTGGTTGAAGGCCATAAAACTTGATTAATCTCAGTCCAATGTGCTGGTCATTATCCCCATTGATTCTGTGGCCTTTTGTGTCCTGCTCTGCTCCCAGGAGGCTGGCTCTTCTGCTCTGTAACTCCCAGGCCGTGTAAGTGACCTGTAGCTGTTGGGCCTAGCTGGAAATGGAAGGAAAAGAGGACAGGTCCTTAGGACAGTTATCCTAGGTCTCCTGACAGCTCCTCTGAGGGTTCAGATGACACCACTTCATCTGTCCTCTCTTCAGGCCTATGTTGGGACCATGTCTGCATACATCAAGTGTCTGCATGCTTCACTATTCCTTGACAATCCGTCAGTCCTCCCTGGCCACAGCTTGGAACACTGCTTCATCACAGTCTCTGCTTGTGGACATGTGGGATGGAGTGCTTCCTCTTGGAAGTGCTCTCCTTTCATGGTATAAAATTTAGGACTTTTTTGAATATACAGAAACCAAATGTACAAACCACCCCTTTCATGTCATTTAAAACACCCATTACAGGATTTGTATCTGTGTGTTTGCCATCAAGGGAAAACTTTTTATATAGACCACATAAAATTTAGAAATCTTTAAACAGCAGACACTAGTTTAAGCAAGGCAACATTTTTTTTCATCAGCACTGGGGTTTAAACTCAGGATCTCAAGCTTGCTAGGCAGGTTACCACTTGAGCCATTCCCTCAGATCTTTTTTGTGTAGGGTGTTCAGATATGGTCTCGTGAACTATTTGTCCTGGCTGGCTTTGAACCCCAGTCTTCCTGATCTCTGTCTCCTGAGTAGCTAGGATTACAGGCATGGGCCACCGGCATTAACTCCTTCCATTGTTCATAAAAACAAGTTAATATTTCTTCAGATAAACGTATTGGTATACATTTCTAATAACAGTTTATAGCATCCAGAAATAGTCTATGATTTTAGGTATCTCCATCCATATCAAAATTCTATGGTGGTTTGATAGAGACCATTTATTTAAATCAAAACACAAAAATTATAATCTAATTACAGAGGGTGTAGTGATTTGTGGTGTACTCATAACTATTATGTTTAAATTAATCTATACTTGAAAACACTACCTCATAACTGTATGTTAAATCAAACTTCTTTAACAGTGTAAGGAGCGTCAACTAAAGAACATTAGCTAAACTACAAAGATAACAGTGAAAAGTGCATTTATTATTAATTTTTTTGTTGTTGCAGTATTGGGTTTTGACTTTGGGGCTCCCACTTGCTGAGCAGGCACTCACTACCTGACCCATGCCTCCAGCCCTTTTCCATTTTCTGTTTTTTCAGGAAAGGTGAAGGGTCAGCAAACCGCCTACCTGGGCTGTTGAGAAGCCACGCCCACTGCGCCCATCACTGACGTGGCAGGACCAATTGGGGCCCCGTGTCGGGGACCGAGAGGCGGGACCTTGGGCTCTTCTGCTTGAGTCCCGCTTTCATCATTCAGCCCTTTTCTTTTTTTTTTATTTATTTCTTTAATTTTATTATTCATATGTGCATACAAGGCTTGGGTCATTTCTCCCCCAGCCCTTTTCCATTTTTTTTTTTTTTTTTGTGGGAAAGGTGAAAGGTCAGCAAACCTCTTACCAGGGCTGTTGAGAAAGCCACGCCCACTTCCCCCGTCAGTCACGCGGCTGGACCAATGGCGGCCTCGTGTCCGCCGGCGCGGGGCGGGGCCTGGTTCTCTGACTGCCGGGGGGTTCTGGGTGAGAGGCTAAGGTATCGTTGGGCACAGTCACCGGGCTCCGGGTCGGGAAGATGCGGCCTCCGTTGTCCTGGCCACTGTCGGGGCTGCGGTGAGCAGAGGAAGCTGCAGCCGCCCGGCGCCCTCGCTCTGGTGATCGTCCATGGTGGCGGCGGCGGGGACTTTGTCCGCTACACCGGCCGGCGGGATGGGGCGGGGCTGCTCCGTCCTGGGCGACACCCATCTCCGTGTCCTGCAGGCCGTGCATGGCGGGCGGGGTACGGGGTGGGGAGTGGGGTCAGCGCGAGGACAGCGACCCTTGGCCGCGGGGTTCCTCCCGGGTGTCGTGGGCGGCCAGGCCTTTGACATGACCGCGAGAGCCCGCAGCCGGGTCTGCAGAGGACCCGGGAGCGGGTGTCCCCTCCTGACCCCGCCATGTCTTTAGGCGGGAATCCAGTTTCCAGAGTGCACGTGGTCCAGCCTTGGCCTCAGCCGTGGCCACTGCCCACCAATGGCGCGGGCAGCAGAGCCCCTGGTGCGGGGCGGCGGTGGGGGCGGGGCGGTGCTGGAGGGGAGGGGGGGAAAGGGGGCGGGGGGAGCGGGGAGGGGAGGAGGAGAGGGAGGCTAGATGGGTGGAATGCTGGAGGAGGGGATGGAGGGCAACAGCTTTCTCCTGTTGGACAGTGGGTGGGTGACCCTGGAGTGCTGAGTACAGGTGGACCCGTGGTGGCCCAGATCCGGAGATGCTGCAGCTGAGCCTGCACAGGAGAGGTCGGCCCGGCCTCCCGGTGCTGAGCTCCCCGTGGGCCTACCAGGGATAACACACGATACACACACAACACACACACACACACACTCACATATACACACATATACACACACACATATACACACACATATACACACACACACAGTACACACACACACACACAGAATACACCGATACAGACACATACAACACAAACATACACATCACACAGTACACATATGCATGCAACTAGGCATACACAGAGACACATACATGACACACACATGCACAGAACAAAGATACACAGCACACATACATAGCACACACACATACAGAAGACACACAACACACACATTCACACATAGAAACAACATACACACAACACACATACACAACACACACAGATGCACATGCACACACACCTCCTACACCCACAACACACACCACACGAACACATATACAAAACACACACACAAAACACATACAACAACAGTACACATAAATAAAGATGCACATACATACAACACACACAGACACACACCTAATATCCCCACAAACCTACACACAAAACACATACACACACTGGCTGAACACACTAGACACACACACCAAACACACACACAATTCTGCTACTGGCACAGCCTGCATCTGTGCTGTTCGGAGCCCAGGTGCCTCCAGGAGCCCTGCAGTGCGTCCAGCAGATCACTTCTGCAAGGCAGAGCTCGCCACAGACTGAGCACCCTGCCTGACCACACAGGCAAGGATGGCTCTAGGGCGCTGTAGCCCAGGGACATTGGACCCAAACAGGACAACTCTGGTGACTGTGACCCACACAGACTTCCGGAGCAGCCAGTGCTCTCTGGAAACCTCATCAAGAGGCCTTTGGGAGGATACAGGGAGCCTGTGCCCAGGTTGCAGACACGAACACTGCGACCTCCTCTGGAGGGGGTAAAGGCATCTACAGTGGACCAGACCAGTCACCCTACAGACCTCAGGCATTGCTCTGACCCAGGCCTCTGGAGGAGGAAGAGGACCTCACTGCTCAGACCCCAACAGGGTTTGGCTCCCATCAACCCTCAGCAGAAGCCTCAGCAGACAGCCCACACTGCAGGGAGGCATTTGGGGAGAGACTTCAAGCCCAGATGTCAGCCCTGGCAGAGTTGTCAGAGAAAATGTGCAGCATGGAGCTTGCATGCCCCATGAGGATTTCCCTGGCCACCCCGGGCTGAGTACCTGAGATAAACTGGGAGAACTATGGCAGCTACTTGCATGGACCTGTACCTGACCTAGCCCTTGGGGACTTTGTGTGCTTGAATTGTCTAAAGATGGGGTACTGAGGGGCAGGAATGGTGAGGCTTTCTAACAGTACTTGAAACCTAATGATAAGCAACATTTCCTCATTATTTTCCAGTGACCGACCTTACTGAAATGGTGCTACAGTTGCTGTGCAAAGAAATTCTGGGGTGAAGAAGAATGCAAAAATCTACCTTCTGTGGTTCAAGGTCAGGTTGGGTGTAAGTGGGAGGCTGTGGAGTTCCTGGGAGAGCTAACTTAGCAAAGGTGTCTTTAACTTTTTCTTGCTCCAAGAAGCACCCTGACTGCTTTGCCACTCAGGCAGAGGGGACATGTGGGGAGAGTTATTCGATTTTTTTTTGTGCTTTATTCTTTCCAGAAATCCACAGCCAAAGGCTCTTGAGCTCCAGGTACTGCTCTTGGATCACCTTGCTCAGAGCTCACTCCATCTCCCTCTCATGGAGTGTACTTTCTGCTTTCACTTTCAGTAAAACTTGGCTGCTGCTTTGCAATCTGTTTGTTCCCGTCCAGTTCTTTCTTCAGGATGCCAAACACTTGAAATCTTCTCAACCAGGGTCTTTTGCGACCACTCTCTGGGAACACTATGAATACATCTGGGATGCATTCATCTAGAGTGCCTTTCCCCACAATTTCTTTCCTTTTTTTTTTAAACTTTCATTTTTCTCTGTTCTATTTTATCACCTTCACATTTATTTACATATGTGTACATTGTTTGGGCCACCTGCCCCTCCTCCCATGCCCCCCAATACCTCCAGTCTGGGCAGAACCTGTTCCACCATCTTGTTCTCTGATTTTGTTGAAGAGAAAACATAGGAGATAGTAAGAAAGACATAAAGTTTTTGCAAGTTTGAGATAAAGATGGCTGTACAGAGAGATTCTGAGTGTTGCTTCCATACACTTGTGTATTACAACCCACATTGGCTCATCTCTGCCAGACCTCTTCTCTACTTCCTGGTCCCCTTCCCATACTGGCCTCTGCCAGGTTAAGATTACTTTATTTGCTCCTCCTGTGCATGTTCTCCCCTTACTGTGTGACCCATGTCCAATAATAGTATTGAATTTATTTTGGGTCTACAATCTGCATATTAGGGAGAACCTGTGATTTTTGGTCTTCTGAGCCTGGCTAACTTTGCTTAAGATGGTGTTCTCAAAATCCATCTGTTACTTGTGAATGACAAAATTTCATTCTTCTTTGTGGCTAAGTAAAATTCCATTGTGTATAAATACCACATTTTCTTAGTCCATTCATCCACTGGGGGGCATCTTGGCTGTTTCCATAGCTTGGCTGTTGTAAATAATGCTGCATTAAAGATGGGTGTGCAAGTGTCTTTGAAATAACTTCAGTTGCATTCCTTTGGGTATATTCCTAGGAGTGGGATTGCTGGATCATATGGCAAATCTATGTTTAGTTTTTAAAAAGCCTTTATATTGTTTTCCAAAGTGGTTGTACTAGCTTGCATTCCCACCAGCAGTGTATGAGGGTTCCTTTTTCCCTGCATCCTTGCTAACACTTGTTGTTGGTGGTGTTCTTTATGCTAGTTATTCTAACAGGAGTGAGGTAGAAGCTTAGTGAGGTTTTGATTTGCATTTCCTTTATGGCTAGGGATGGTGGGTATTTTTTCATGTGTTTTTTGGCCGTTTGGACTTCTTCCTTTGAAAAAGTTCTGTTTAGTTCAGTTGCCCGCTTCTTTATTGGTTTATTAATTTGGGGGGTGTTTAGTTTTTTGAGCTCCTTGTATATTCTGGTTATCAGTCCTTTGTCAGATGTATAGCTAGCAAATATTTTCTACTACTCTGTGGGTGTTCTCTTTAGTTTAGAGACCATTTCTTTTGTTGAGCAGAAGCTTTTTGATTCCATGTAGCCCCATTTGTCCAACTTTTCTCTTAGTTGCTGGGCTGCTGCAGTTCGTCTGAGGAATTCCTTGCCTATAGCTATTGTTTCCAGGGTATTCCCTGTTCTTTCATGTACTAACTGCAAGGATTTGTGTCCAATATTAAGTTCCTTCATCCACTTTTGAGTTGATTCTAGTAAGAGTGATAGGCATGGATCTAGTTTCAGTTTTCTGTAGGCAGATAACCACTTTTCCCAGCAACATTTGTTGAAGAGGCTGTCTTTTCTCCATCGTTTGATTTTGGCACCTTTGTCAAAAATAAGGTGGGTATAGCTGTATGGATTCATATCCAGGTTCTCTGTTATACTCTTCTTCATATCTGTTTTTGTGCCACTACCATGCTGTTCTTATTGCTATGGGTCTGTAGTATAGTTTGAAGTTGGGTATTGTGATACCTGCAGCATTGGTCTTTTTGCTCAGTATTGCCTTGACTATTAATGGTCTTTTGTGTTTCCAAATAAACTTTAGGGTAGATGTTTCGATTTCCGTGATGCATGTCATTGGGATGTTGAGGGGAATTGTGTTGAATGTGTAGATTGATTTTGGTAGTATAGCTATTTTTACTAGGTTGATCCTGCCAATCCATGAGCATGGGAGATCTTTCCATCTTCTATAGTCTTCCTTGATTTCTTTCTTCAGTGGTTTGTAGTTCCCTTAGACAGTTTATTTACATCCTTTGTTAAGTTTATTCCTAGGTATTTGATGTTTTCTAAAAACATCAAAATGGAATTGTTTTCCTATATTCTTTCTCAGTTAGTTCACTGTTGGTATATAAAAAGGCTACTGATTTTTGTAAGTTTATTTTGTATCCTGCTACGTTGCTGAAGGTGTTTGTGGTGTCTAGGAGTTTTGGGGTGGAGTTTTCTGGGCATTTGTAAGGTAATAGCTGTATATACTCTCAAAGGTTCTCCAAGTTATTAAGTTTGTTAGTTCTTGTGAAAGATAGCACACAGTAATTAGTACCTATTAGTCTTTGCAATTGAAAGCTAGTACTCAATGTAGCATTCACATATGAAGTATTTACATTCACTATTTTATGACTCATGTTCCTAAAAGAAGCACAAATTGCAAGTTTATCAAATCTACCTTTGTTAATTTTGAATTTTTTTTATTTTAGATTTTCATTAATTTCAAGGATATATATGTATAAATACACATACATATAGTGTTCATATATAAATAATATAGCCTCTAAAACTAAACAAATCTTTACACTTGTGATTTACAAAATATCTGATAACACCAGCTTCAGTATTCTGTATTCTATATTCTTTCATCTCACAAAATACTTTGATGTCAATTATTTCCAGAAATACTTTCTGTGACCAAAGATCAAGTTAAATTAATGTACTCCACTGGTTGAATTATTTGAAAATGTGAAAACATATCACCACAGTGCTTGTGATGTTAGGTCATCCCCATAACCATGGAATTAGGGATGTGGACATGAACTTGACAGGTGAGATTAACTTCATGATGTAGTTCACCTCCTTGTAGGTCAGAGACATTCAAACCCACCTATGCTCAGCTCCCACTGTGCTGCAGTCCTGGCATCCTGCTCTACAGCCATGGCTGCTCAGGGCTCCTCTCGATGCTGTTTTGAGAAAATGTTTGTCACTGTGTCACCCAGGTGTCCAATACAGTAGTGTAACTGGGTGTTTTCGGTTGAAACTTGAAATTGTGGTGTTAGTAGTCACATTGGTTTTGAGGAAATCCTCAGGTTAATGTGAAGAGGTAATGAGGAACAAAATGAGAATGTTTTGAGGAAAATTGGGTATTAGGTGAAATAATTATTAGCAGTTGGAATAACTTTTTCTGATACTTGCTTTTTTTAGAAAATCACTTCAGGAAATACACAAATCAGATTCTGCGTGATGGACCCTTCAGAAGATCCGAGAAGCCAGCTTGGACATTTAAAATCAGAACTGTCATTTCTACATGTGCTGGCTGACTTCAATATGAGAAATTCTGCAGAAAGATGAGGACTGCTAACCTCTGAGATGACCAAAAAGGGTGAGAATTATTTTAATGTGGAAGTAGTTTTGAAGCTCACCTTGTTATGCACAGGAACTTGGTTGTCATAATGCTGAGTTAAGATTCTGCACATTCACTGTCATGGTGTACTTGTGCAGTGAGGCATCTTTTGAACATCATATTTGCTCAGTACTTTTTTTGTGTGTCATTAGGGTGTGAATTCAGGCCTTCTGCCACCTAGGGAGGTGCTTCAACTCTTGAGCTGCAGTTCAGCCCCTAAACTCTTAAAAGTCACCTGAGGTAAATATTAAAGAACAGAACAGTGTCCTTGACTACCTTCCTGGTCAAGTAAGAGTGATATGGTATTTGCAATTTTAACACACCCCAGGGCCTCATGCATGCTAGGCAAGTGCTCTACCACTTGAGCCATGTTGCCAGCCTATTTTAATTTTTTTGAGACAATGTGTGCATCGTGGCCTAGGCTGGCCTCCTGCCTCAGCTGCCCAATTGCTGGCATTACAGGTGTGACCATTACACAAGCATTAATTTATAAATCTTACAATTCACCGCTCACATGAAAGCTGCCTCACTGTACTGCACTACTCCTAACTGTCATTACCTAGGGTCAATAATCGACCATCAGCTGAAGCTTTTCCCAGAAGGAAGCGATCTGGTCTTAATGAATAAGTTTTATTGCCAAGGATCTAAGGTGCCCTGACAGGTGAGAGGAAGGTAATTTACTGTTGCAAGTGAATGTTAGGAACTTTGTTTGCTCAAGAACAATGTTCTTTAGTAGAAATCATTTTTGGAAGTGCTTGCTGATTTTCCTACTGAAATAACTCTTAGGAGAGGGAGAGTGCTCAGTGGGTCTTCAGCAGCTCACTGCAAGGGTATTTTCAGTTTCTTATATAATTGAAGTGATGGAATTTAGAGACTTGAAAAGATTTGAAAGGAAGAGATGGGATTCAGAAAGTACAGCCATGTAGGGTTTGCAGAACAACTTGAGCAGTGGAGTGCTTGCCTAGCAGGTGGAAGGTCCTGAGCTCAAATACAGTCCCACAAAAAAAAAGTAAGGCTAGCCCTGTATGAAACTCTTTATCTATCTATTCATTGGTGGTACTGGGATTTGAACTCAGAGCCTTTCCTTTGCTAGGCAGGTGCTTCAACAACTTGAAGCACTTGAGCTACTTCAACAACTCTTTTTTTGTGTGTATGTTGAGTACTTTTGAGATAAGGTGTCATGAACTATTTGGCCAGGCTGGCTTTGAACCACAGTCCTCCTGATCTCTGTTTTGTGTGTAGCTAGGATTGCAGACATGAGACACCAGTACTCAGTTGACAGTCTTGAGTAGTAGTCACCCACCTTGGGTGTGTCTCAGACCTCAATCCTCCTCACTGTGAGACCTCATGCAGAAGGATTACAGGTGCATACCACCATGCCTAACTTGTTGGTAGAGATGGGGGTCTTCTAACATTTTGGAGTTTGTTTGGTGGTACTGGACTTTGAACTCAGGGCCTTGTGTTTGCACAGGCAGTCTACTACTTGACCCACACCTCTAGACCAGTTCTTCTAACTTTTTGCCTGGTCTGTACGAGAATTGTGATCTCCTAATCTCTGCTTCCCAAGTAGCTGGGATTTGAACAGGCATGAACCACTGTGCCTGGCCTCTGTTCTTTACCTTTTATTTTTTCATGATTTCTCAGCACTATAGAATGAGGACTGCTCTTACCTTTTTGTCAGCTCTAGAAACATGTTGTGAAGAGTAAGTGCTTTGGCTTGATAGTTGATCATTTTGAAGGACAAATCTTCCAGTGTTCATTAATTTTGATAAAAAATATACTCTCACTGTTTAAAATTTTTTTCTAAATTTTATTAAGACTATAGATCTTTAAATTAAGGAAATTCAGTGAACCCCCAAAAGAACAAACACAGCAAAAACATACAAAACTAACTGCTATCTTGTTTAGGAACAGCTAAAACATGATCAAAACAATGAGCAATGTCCAGATTTCCCAAAATTCACAAGAGTGGTTATATCTGGGGAGAATAATGGCAAGGCTTCAAGTATATTAGTAAATTATTTTCTTCAAGTAATCTAAAGAGTACGTAAGTATTTATTATTCATTAAATTGTGTGTACATATTTGTGCACATAGTATAGAGATCAATAAATAGAATATTAATGAAGTCCATCTTTTGTGTGTGTGTGTGGTTCTGGGGAAGGAAACCAGAGCCTTATACATGTTAGGCAAGTGTTCTCCCAGTGAGCTGTATCCCCAGCCCTCCATTCTTCTTCTGTTACTTACAAAAAGAGAAGCTATTCCTAATCACACTTCTTATTCATTTAAAAAAATTCTGGGGCTGGCAGAGTGGCTCAAGTAGTAAGAGTGCATGCTTACAAAGCATGAGGCCTTGAGTTCAAACCCCAGTGTTGCCAAAAAAAAAAATCTGTGTTCAAGTTAACAAGTACTGACATTACAATTTGGCATACTGTTTTACTTTAGAAGCAATTATCCATGCATTTTATACTTGCATAAAGAAAAGAAATGAAGCCTGGACCTCAGATAATTCAGAATATCTCTATGGGCCTGAGTTTGTTGTGTACAAAATAAAGCGTTTGCACCAGGTTATTTTAGATTCATCCAAAATTCAATGTTTACTGCATTTTGACACATTTTTATGGAGAAAGCCCAAGGTCACCTAGGTTTTCTTCTATGTTATTTTCATAACATAAGTTTTACATGTGTGTCTGTGGTCCATTTTGCATTAATTTTTGTAAAAATTGTGACTCAGTATCTAGATTTACTTATTTACTACATGTGGATATCCAGCATCTTCTATGGAATAGACTGTCCTTTCTCCATTGAACTTCCTTTGTTCCTCTGTCAGGAATCACTTTATAGCCAGGGGTGGTGGCTCATGTCTATAATCTCAGATGCTCTGGAGGTGGAGATCAGGAGGTAGTGGTTGATGGTCAGTGGGAGCAAAAATTTAATGAGAGTTCATCTTGACAAATAAGCTGGGTGTGAAGGTGCATGTCTCTAATCCCAGCTACATGGGAGACTGTCCATAGCAGGATCACTGTCTGAGGCCAACCTGGGCAAAAAGCACCAGATCTTATGCGTAAAACAAAAAGGACTGAGGGTGTGGCCCAAGCTGTAGAGTGCCTGCCTAACAAATGTGAGTCCTGAATTCAAACTCAGTACTCCCACACCCCACTGCCAATAAAGAAAATCACTTTTCTGTATTTGTGAATCTATTTCTGTACTCGATTTTGAACTTGTGATCCACCTTCTATGCTTTCACCAACACCACACTTTTTATTAGTGTAAATGTTAAGTCTCAAAATTGGGTAGTTTCAGTTCTCTGACCTCATTCTTCAGTATCATGCTGGCTGATCTGAATCTTTTGCCTTTTTTTTTTTCCTGCTGTGCTGTGATTGAACTCAGAGCCTTGTGGCTGCTAGGCACGCAGTCAACCTCTGAGCTGTATCCACAGTTCCTGCCTTTCTAGTCCATGTAAACTAGAGATTCTCTTTTCTTTTCTTCTTATTTATTTACTTTTTTTTATAAAAAAAATTTATTGCGATGTATTTGTTATATGGGGGGAACCCATAGTGTTAGTTCTGATTAGGATTATATTGTACATTAGTTAGATTGCCCTGATCATCTCTCCTCCTAAAAATCACCTCACTTAAAGCATTTGCAAGAGATTTCTTTGTTCTATTTCATATAAGTGTATGAAGTCCATCTAAGGTATATGCTCAGCTTAATCTCCTTCATTCACCCTTCCTCCTCCCACTAGTGCCCCCAGACACACACTGTACCTGTTTTATAGTCCTTGTTTCATTATTAATATTTAAGTTGACATTCAAAGGGTTTCTCTGTGTTTCCCCTCTGTGAGTATATTTTGTTCTGTTCAGTCCCTTCCGTTGCTCTCCCTTACCCCTTTACCTCCCACCCCCCCTTTTTCAACAGCTTTCAGTACACACCCTCATATCCTCTACCTTCACAGATGTTATGTTTTATGATATTACTGATGCTCTGTCATTCTCTTTTCCTTTCCCTCTTTCCCTGAGTTCCATGGAACAGTTCTACTATGACAAACACGTTCTACATCTGAGTTTGTATATGTTTTTCTTTTGGATCTATCTTCCACGTATGAGAGAAAACATGTGGCCTTTGTGTTTCTGATCCTGGCTAACTTTGCTTAACATGATGTCTTCCAATTGTATCCATTCACTTTCAAACCACATGTCATTATTCCTTCTGGCTGAGTAAAACTCCTGTGTGTATACACCACATTTTCTTATGCATTCATCAGTTGCAGGATACCTGGGTTGATCCCACAGCTTGGGTATTGTGAGTCATGCTCTGATGAACATGGGTGTACAGGTGTTTTTATTGTATCCTGTCTTATGTTCCTTTGGGCAGATGCCCAGGGGCAGTATCAGTGGATCATATGGCAGTTCTAGCTTTAGCTTTCTGAGGAATCTCCAGACTGCTTTCTGAAGTGGTTGTACTAATTTGCATTCCCACCAGCATGTTTAAGGGTTCCATTTCACCACATCCTCGCCAGCATTTGTGGTTATTATTGCCCTTGATTACAGCCATTCTAACTGGGGTGAGATGAAATGTAAGTGTTGTTGTGATTTGCATATCTGTTGTAGCCAGGGAAGTTGAACACTTCTTCTTGTATATACTGGTCATTTGTACCTCTCTCTTTGAGAATTCCCTGTTAAATGCATGTGCCTGTTTTAAACTCTTGAGTCTGCTTGTCATTATCTACAAAGCAGCTTGCTGGGGTTTCAGTTGTGTTGCATGGAATCTATAGGTCACATTAGGAAGAACTGACATCTCAACCACATTGAATCTTTCTTTTCATAAAATTATGATCAGGCATTGCATTTAGCAGTCATGTTTTTTAGTCTCCTATAATCAGGTTGATCCTCCTTTTCTTTTGTAACACTGACTTTTTGAAGTTCACTTACATTACAGAATGTTCTTTTTTTTCTTTTTCCTGT